CCAGGGACCAAACTTTCTCGGGGTCCGGAATATCCTCCCCTCCGATTTTCTGATCGGCCAGACAGCCAAAGGAGGCTCCCGGGTAACAAGGAGTCCCTGAGAACGTCCCCAGTCCGCGGCCCGCCATGTTTCAGCGGATAAAGGCTGAGCTGGAACGTCACCCCACTTGACGGTTTCGATCTATGGAGGGGCGAAAGGGGAACCACGCTCCAAGCTGCTGTTTTGGATCACCCGGCGCAGATTTCGAAGTTTAGCCAGTCGAAACGGGGAAAACCTACAGATCCGCTTAATATGAGATACGAAAGCCCAGAGGCGGGCCCGGTGGCGGCGTCGCGATCAACACTGGACCACTTGTTGGGCTACACGCTGTCTTTGCCGATGTGGCCTCAGGGTCCTCTCACAACAAACATGTGATCTCGTACAAGGGGGGAGGGGGGCTTTAGTTGTGCTTAGTTTGAGAGGGGAGGTGAGATCGCTGAGGTGACCAACGTGAGAAGAGGAGGGTGGGGGGGTGCGTCAACGGGATGTCTGTCCGTCTCTCCGTTATCCCCCTCTATCTATCCCTCTCTGTGCGTGTGGGTGTGCGAATACATACCGGTGATAATAAGCCCCCAGCCGCCTTGCGCCCAGTGCTTGTAGAGCGTCAACATCCGCTCGTCGGGAAGCTGGTTGGGCCCCGCCATTTGCTCAGCCATGGCGGCCTTGACCAGCCGGTTGGGGAGCGTGAGGCCGCATTTGAGGGTCAGGGGCTGGGCAATCTGGAGATCGGATGGTTCACCCATTGTGAGGGTTATGGCTGGCGAGAGAAGTGTATATGAATGATGTGCGGTTTAAAAGGGTGTCTTCAAAACGGGGCAAAAAGGGGCTTCTCAAAAAAGGGCAGTACCGGCGGTATGCGGCGGCAAAACACTGATGAAAGCTGTGCCTTCATTCAAACCAGCATCACCTGGGGGCGACGATCGATATTTTATACTTTGCTAATATGTTGACCACGCGCTTTACAGACCCCAAATCCCGAAACGCAAGATACCGTGGCAAGGTGATCCCTGGATGTTGGGCCAAGAAAATCCCCCCGACTGTATGCTCCGCCGGCGGGACTTCACTCCGGGCGAAACGATATGTGCCCGCCGAAAACGTAGCGTCACAATTGGGCCAAGTCCCGGAACGTTTTGGTGGACGGATTGATTAATCAACAAATGTTGTGGGGCGGGCGATACAAGAACCCAGCGGACATGCTTGAGAGTAGTGTTTTGCCGACGAATTGTTGCTACTCTTCGGAAATATAACATCTGACAAGAAAATCCGCAGCATATACAGAGGTCGTTTGGGATATGGCATTAGGTTTGCCGCAAAGCAAAGCCAACGAATTGCCATTGCATATTGGCCCGACGGTACAAGACGGAACTCAGGAGTGATGCCATTCAAATAAACTTCCAGTTGCTATTGCGGCTCCATGGTAACCACATGGGGGCTGTACGGTAACTGCACTGCACTTGGTTAAAAGCAAGCACTGACTTCACTGGGGACAGACACGCTGAGGCTGGAGGGACCTGCCTTCAAATCAAAGCAGCACCTCCGGATCAAGGTGTACGTCAAGTGGCCAAACAATCCAAATACTTTCTTCACAGATAGATCATAGACTACCGCAACAGAATCCCCCCACCATCAGTCTCCAACACCACTACACCACACCACCCCCCTCAGAACCTCGTCATCTCAAAAGTCGACGGGGCATACAAAACCCCCGGTCTCTGCTCAGCGACCGTGACCACCGACGTCCCGGCCTTGGTGCCCATGGTCCCCTTGATGAGAATGTCAATCTTCTCGCCGAGCGCCAACGCCGCGCCCTTCTCCCCGGCCTTGTCCCTCACACGGACAAAGAAGTTGGTCGAGCGCAGGCTGGTGCCGTGGGGCGTCTGCAGCGCCACATCCCACGCGCCCGCGTCACCAGGGAGCGTTGTGCAACTCCACGTGCCGCCGCCCGCGGCCTCCGCCTCGCCCTCGCCGGCAAAGGCCGTGTTGGTGAACAGGCAGGTGTCGTCGGAGCCGCCGAAGAAGCCCAGCGAGACGTTGTTGATGGTGTCGGTAGACGCCGCCTGATCCTTTTGGGTCGGTGCCGCGTCCGAGAACGTGATCTTTTGGGTTGTGTCGTTCTTCAGAGTCAAGGTGAAGGAACCAAGGCGTGTTCCTGACTCCCAAGATGGATGACACGGACGCGGTGAGCAGAGGCCCGGGCGGATTGTCAATCTGGGATAGCCAGCCGTCGGGTGCACGCATTCGATCGACAAACTTCTCGCCCCGGCGTTTTTTGGTGTTCCGTCGTGCCAAATATGGTGATAAAGATGCCGACTATGATGACTGCGATGAGGAGGATCTGCCCAATGACTGGGATGATGCTAACAGCCGGCATGATGAGCCCAAGAATCTCCACCACCACGATAGCCACCTTCAGGATGATGTTGATGATGCCGAGCGCTAGCTGGACCGAACTCATGTTCTTCCCGTGGACGGCAATGTCCCATATCAGAAACCCGATGAAGGCAATCGCGATGACGGTGCCGATGATTCGGATGACCTTGGGCGACACACTCAGCTTACCCTTTAGGCGTGACAGGAGGCCCGTCTTGGCCGTAGTCTTTTCCACCTCGAGCGATTCCTTGCCGAGCTTCTCAAAATACTTGACCTTCTCCTTGATGAGTGCCTTGCGCCGCCAGCCGAATGGCGTCTTGCGGACCTTGTCGTTCATGAGAGCTGTCTCGGCGTGTATCTGCGCAGCCGTCCGCGGGGTCGTTTTAATAAAATGCGGCCCGACAATGTCCATAACATTCTTGGCCACAGTGCCGCCGATGACAGCAATTTCCGATGCGTGTGAGCGGCACATCTTTGCCGTAGATGAGAGACGTGATGTTGGCAACCAGCGCGAGGAGCTGCAGTGTCATGCCAAATATCAGCCAG